GCGACAATAGTGACGATTTTTTTTTCGTGGAGTAACACTCTCATGAACATGAGACGATAACTGACCTTCTGAGGTTGGGCGGATTTGCTTAATTTGAGTTGACTCAATTGTGAAAAAACTCGAGGCGTTCGGTGGGATTTGAACCCGCATAGTGGAGAAGGCTTTTACCAGAAGCCAAGGCTCTAACCAATTGAGCTAGAAAGGCTCCACCTCGTGCCATGAATTTAATCACAGTTGGGTCGATTTTAAGCGCCCAACTTTACCGCTCGTGTTGGTGGATTCCATACGAGCGGTATAGTTGGGCGCGTAAAATCGACCCAAGTGTGATTAAATTCATGGTGCGAGGTGGGGTATTTCTAGCTCAATTGCTTAGAGCCTTGGCTTCCGGTAAAGGCCTTCTCCACTATGCGGGTTCAAATCCCACCGAACGTCTCGGGTTTCTTCACAATTGGGTCAACTCAAATCAGAGTTGAGAGGATAGTTATCTCATGATGAAGTTGGGGCTACATCGGCCTCATAGTGGTCCAACTCTGAGCGTAGATAGCCACGTTGAACCTCTCGCTTCTCGCGATTGCTTGCATATGCGCAACAGGGGCCTCCGTTTCAGGCTTTCCCAACTAGCCAATAATCATCAAGGGTGACTCACACACGACCGCGCTGGAAACGTTGTGACGACTTCCCACGGTCTTACACTTCAGATTGATTGATTACCACCTCTTGGGAGCCATCCATAACCTCGAAGATAGGAAAAAAACCTAAAACAAATTCCCTCTTTTGAAGTTAGCATTAGTTTTGTTTTAGTTTTGTGCTCAGTCGATAATGGGCGAAATAGGGAGTTTGTTTCAAGTGAAAAAACCTGACTTCAAAAGTACAATACTAACGAAAGATAGGTACAGTTATAGATCGAGTCAACAGTTTAGCAGAAAAAAACTGCAGCTCGTTGAGTGTCTTTCGTTCGGGACGGGGAGGGTTGACACAGGAAAATAATGTTTTCAGTCTTCCTTGAGTGTAATGCTTTCAAGATTCAGCACCAGCAGAATGTTTGTGGTTCTGGACAGAATAAATTATTCCGCTGAACTTATCCCACTTTTTCTCTTCTCATAGGAGACCGGGCCTGAAGGTTCCAGCGTCTTTCCTGCTGCCGTAACCTATCCTCCCTCTGCCCTTGGATATCCACCTCTAGAAGGGCTACCAGACACCCGTCTTCTTCAATTGACCCTGTTCCCAGAAGAGCGTCTCACTTTGAGCTGCCGTAGCAGTTTTTTAGTAGGCCAGTTCGTGAGCTACCAGAGCCGTCCCCTTTTCGGAGAGTTTGCCATTAAATTGTCTAAAATTAAACAAATACTCCAGGCTGCCAGAGTGTGCAGTGTCACCTTGAGAGCCTGTGAGGCATAGAGACGGGGTTGTTGTCTGTCGCAGTTTTCCGACTGCACTTCCTGCGTGCACAAGTCACAGTCGGCTTTTCGATGGCATGTTTTAACAACTATTTTTAGCTACCTCTCTCACGCCGGGTATGGCAGTGCCACCTCTAACTAACACTAGCTAAACATCTACACGGTGATCAAATCCTACTATGGGTAACGAATTTTGTTTAGTAGGAATACGACTCCGATTAGCCTGGGCCACCTGCAGGATTGCATGCCGCCCCTTCAGTAGGACCTTTTACCATTGGGTTAGTGATAGGGTTTTAGCATTAGTTCGGGGACGTTCAGGCATGAGAACAAACACCGAGCATCCTCAGCTGATTTAGCCTGCCATTCAAGGATGGTTATTGGAATTTAGCCACCGTGCGGAGCACGGCTTTGTATAGCCACCGATGCGGGACGCAGTCTAGACAGATGTCTCCAACCCGGACCTGTAGCGTTTTCCATCTCTGGCGCTACGCCGCGCAGGAGTTCATGTCCTTGCAGTTCTCACCTTGACAGGCAATTACAGACGCTCACAAACTGCTATTGGTCAATTGGCCAGTGACCTTCTCTCGCAGGACTTTTATGCCTTCACGCCGAGAACACGCTAGCGAACAGACGCGCGCGCAGACCTTAAGTTTGCCGCGCGTCTGAGCCTCAAACAATCACTGAGTTACAGAATAGACAACTGAGTTATAGAATAGACAACTCCTTCTCCCTTCTCTGCCTGTACGGAACTGCGTATGCTGATTGTGGTGCTCTGAGCACATCCACGGCTTAGGCCTCAACAGACCCTAGTTACGTTTAGCTTGAACTGTCAACGTACCACCGTGCCGTGCCTGCACTACCACACCCAATTGGCGTTGCCTCTACTACATCGTCGGGCATGGTAACTGCTGGCGTTGTATCTGCAAGAGATTCTTTTCATTAGTTTATCCCAACGCATCGAGAAACCTGGTATGACCATACAAGTATCACGTGGGTCCGACCATGGATTCCTGGACACCCCACGGAATAGGAACTGTTGAGAACTTGACATCAGAAATTTTCGGAATATAGTGCCAATTTCCTTGTGTACATTGGAACGCCACGTGACATGAATCTAAAATGGTTCCCATTGCTGACAATAAACCCCGGACTTGGGTTCTGCAACTTGATTAGGCTGATAAGCTACCCTACAGATTTTGGTAATTATTGTCTGCAGTGCGGTAAATAGTCGAGCACGACAAATGGGGTGGATATAATAGTTTGAATTTCACCTTCGATAATCGTACGCTTTCAGTGGAATCTAGAGTTCCCCTGAGGAAAGGCCGACAGTTATAGCGAGCATTGACCGTGGGAATGGACAGTTCACCATTTCGTAAAATATAGCCTGCTAGTAACCCAGCCGATGGTCAAGGCTCTGCACATAAGACGAAGTATGCGACAATGTATCAAGAAGACAGAAGCAGAAGGGACGACCTGAACTATAACCTTTTACAACCAGAAAATATGGATAATTTTCCCTCGCTTACGATGGATTTGGGTAGAGATATAATACGTGGGGCATATCTAGCTACTTACTACGAACCTAAAAGGCCCTCCTCTGTTTCTCCGAAAATAATTATTTGCCATTATAAACGAACGTGCAAGTCTTAGGAGGTAATGTTGAAGAAGTAGATGTGATCGCAGAAACAAGAATTATATTAGCCTGACGTCTCGAAATCCGTCGCGGATAAACCCTTCAAGAAAGCAACGCGAGTCTACGCAACTACCGTCAAATGCTTGACTAAGAGAAGATCAGATGCTGTGAGTTCATGGGTGATGACAGCACAAGACTGCTTCAGCAGAGAATGAACGAACGAATCCGCGAAAAGAAAGCGACACGCGAAGCAGCCTTGGAGAACAAATTTCCCAAGCTGCATAATTCAACGTCATCCAGAAACGACAAATTGGAACACAACCTGTCGTCGAAGGAACTGACGAAGGATTAAATACATGTTCAACAGCATGAAGCCACATTCCACAGCCTCATTCCACAGAGGAGATAAAAAACCTTATCTGACACTAGGTATCGTCTCTCCTTATGGCTTATCAACAGCGCAAAATAGTCTTCAGTGTCAAACGCCTTTTACTACGAACACTCAAGGCCGCACTACACATCCCCATCGTGCCAGCCGACAAAGGGCCCACCACCGTCCTAATAGATAGAAGAGATGATCTTCAAAAAACCAAAAAGTTATGGAGGATCCATCGCTGGAATGCACTCCAACATACGGGCGGACAAAGTGACTGTTTCGGCGGTTCAAATTTCTGACCGCCGATGTGGATACTACGGTCCCTTTTTATCGACAAGATTTTTGGAGAAAGCTAAAGGTCTAAGTCTCCTACCAAGTGATTTCATGGCATTCATTTTTGTTCCTATCTCTAAGGGTCCGGCAGTCGAGACCGTCGAACTACTTCTACGAAGCAAATACGATGAAACGGAGAATCGCCTCAGACATGCCCAAATCTTTCAGCTCCTGAAATTCTGTCCCAGGATGTACAACACGTTTGACAGAACGATATACGAGCAGGTGGGAGGAACACCAATGGGTTCACCAATGCCGGGTCTCATAGCCAAGATAGTCCTACAACGGTTGGAGTCGCTGGTCTTCCAATACCACAGACCGACATTTTAGGCGCGGCATGCGGATGACGCATTCTTCGTAATCAAACGGGATCAGGTGCTCACGTTCAAAGAACTTCTCAATAGCGTATTCCCGGACAGCAGCGCGGGGTTACGGTTCATTCGAAGAGATCCAGCTACATATACAAATTTGATGAGGCTGAAATTCTCGCGAGAGGTGAACATCGGGTGAGGTGTGAGTTACTTGACTCATGGTTCATAGGCTCCCAGTCTATAAAGAAATGCAGCGACCTGCCCAATTCATATTCGGTTCTGAGGCTCAACTTGGTCAAACCAAGTGGCCACTTGGGGATTGCACAGGCTAACGCGTCGTCTAACGTCACCATCAGACAATCAGATGGCCCAGCAATCATCATGTCCAATTCCACTACGTGTGATGGAAGTTTAGCAGGTCACCATCCGCACGACGGCCATCAATCAATTAACGCGCAAGCGGATGGCTATTCTCGATAGGAGACGGTGTGTTTATTACCATAGGTGTGTAGTATCATAGTGACTGCATCCTATAAATACTGGAACAAACTGTGTACAAATTACTCGTTTCTGCTATTGTCTCTGATGATGGAGCTGCGAAGGAATTCAAAACCTCAGACAAATAAATTCTTGTCCGAGTAATGACATCTACTTCTTCTCAAGGAAATTTTTGCCTGATTACCATTTGCTAACATGGCTGAACTATTACTAATAAGTGATCGAAATTTCAACCTTGACATCTCAACTTTTTCCAGTGACAGGGTTCTGTAGGAGTCGTCAGACAGCTTCAAGCAGGCTCCATAAGTTCTTATTCCACTGCGTTAGTTGCAAAAAAAGGAAGCACGTATGAGGCAGCCCCATAACTCGAAAGGAGAAGTGAAGAACATCCGTCGGCCCGATAAACGCGAGGCATTAAATAAACATGAACAAAGGGTTTGGGCTTGAACATAGTTGGTTGTCGCTCTGCCAAATGAGTCCGCTGGGGGCAACGACGAAGACAGAAGCAGCGGTTATGTAAGTAGAATTTTTCGTGCTCTGCTGGCAGGAAATATGTGTAAAGAAACAACTTATAATGTAGCACAACGCTTACACAACCTAACAGTCAGCAAACTTCTCCCTGCGCTTCCCATTAGAAAAACTTTTTTTACAGTTTTGGTTACTTTGCGTAAGAACACCCTTCACCATCTGACATTTCGGCCGTCGGTTTCGACGATATCCCCTGCGTGCTTCACAGCAGGCTGGAAGCAAGCGCAATGACTTGCATGTGAATAAGATTGTAGTGAGAATAGACTTACGCTGCATTTAACGCACTCTCTCCCCTCCCCTGTTTGTGTTCTGTGTCACGAGAGTCAAGAAGGCCGGAAGCGGGAGAGGGCACCCAGCAACTAAATTCCACCATTAAATCCTAACACCGACTCTCATTCTTCGTCCTCAGCACAGTTATAATTTTTCGTTCTAACAGTTTTTTATTTACGTGTGCACAATTTCCACCTGTCCAAACAATATCTCAAATTAATGGAGTTACTGTCTCTGTGTACTCACGTACATAGCATGCCTTGGACTAAGACGTTCAAACCATTTCATAATGAAACTTTCTGCAACTGCAACTACCAGTTTTGATGGTAGCTTTCCTTACAGCTCATGGTTTTCTTCTGATTGTGACCACCAAATGAAGGCCAGTTATGAGAACACAGACACAGAAACACCTTCGTTCTCTCTTTCGAGGAAAATTGCCCCTGTCCTACTAGAACTGTGACCACCTATTAGACAAATGATCGCTGTGTCCTTTTTGGCCAAACAACAGTCTTCCACCATAACGATCGCAATGCAACTTACAGTGCACTTTGACCCCAACTCAGGTGTATTCTGATTTCGGTGTAGTCGTCTTGCTATGAATAAAATTTTCTCCAATGGAAATTGTGGACATGTAAAGCGCTAGACAAAAGTGCTATAACCGCCCATAGATAATTCGAGATTTGCTTAGAACCATATAATAGGCGAAGAAATGCTTTGGCTAAATTACTACGACGCGTATTCACGCTTGTATCGACAACTGCTCGATTTCATACACTACAGTAGGTTGGGTGAATAGCTGGATGTCTTGCTATTCAGTTGGTTAGAGCGTTCGCGATACTCAAGTCCTGCCCTCGCTGTCGTGCTGTAAAACTCCCCCGAGGTCAATGATTTTTACAATTGGATCAGATAATCCCCAGGGTGTTTCCTTTAATATCTTCGGTAAATATCACTCACACAAAAACACACTCACCTGAGTAAGGTTTTAAAACGCCCATAAAAAATGAGCTCGACTTGAACCGCTAACTCTAGGCTACTCGGTTTTCGACGAATAAAAATGGAAAAGCATAGCATTCATTTTATTTTATTGTATTTTATGTGTCAGGTCTGAATAGCTGTACATCTACTGCCAGGAATGATTTAAGAGTCGGGTCTGTGCTTGATGAACTTGACAATATAGTTCACTGTTAGTACCTCAATTTCCTTCGTTCCTACGTTAGGACGGCATTAATATTTCGTAATTCAACCTGCCAAATCCCAGTGAGTGCTCACATGAATACCGGTTCTGTGCGCTTTCGCAGACTCGTATTGGAAATAAGCGTTTGATTCGCCCTCCAAAGTCTCCAATGCTTGTTAAGCAAATCAACTATCGGAGAAGCCTAAGTATATAGGGAAAAACATTGCCGCTGCGATCTTCATGTCTTGGTCCGTGAAGTGAAAAGGTGAAGACGTTAAGTAGAACGCATAGTGTATTCTGTACGGAGGTAGTGGAGAATAGGTTGGATGAAATTGACTTTCAGGTGAATGCCCAACCATTCGTGGGGGGCTGGTATCCGAAGTGTGAGAGCGCGGAAGTCATCACAGTGGCTACAGCGTGGTCATGTGTTAGTCAGCCACCGGGAGATTATTGGCCAAACGGGATTATGGTAGGCAGGCACTGATGCTTGCGCACTTTATAGCAGTCACGAGAGGTTGAGCGCGTACGCAGAGTGGGGTCACTATAACTGCTTTCTTCGCAGACCGGAATTCATGTGATAAAAAGAATCCGAACAGATGAAGAATAATTAAATTTATTGAATGAGATTCGTACGAACGGTAGTGTTGTGAACCACGTGGGCGGCTGTGGCCGACATTATTGAGCCAGGTTGAAGGGATAGCTGTCGAAAGCCGATGGTTGGGTTTTAGGTCGACGGCAACTCGGTATGCCGTATCAGTATTGGTTGAGTTGAGTTAGGAAAGATATCGTCGACAATAGGAGATAGGATGTTGGGAAGGAGTTCTGGGTTCTGGCACCCATGGAGAGACTGCTTTGCCGGATTAGGAAAGAACCGTGGCCTGGGCTGGATGAACTGAGAATGGTCGGTGATTGACCAGAGCCGATTGGGGCAGGCAAGCACTGGTGCTTGCACACTCGATAACAACCGCGAGAGGTTGAGCGCTGCACACGGACTGGGGTCACTGCACAACTCCTTCAGTCGAGTTACTCATTAAATGGATATTAGTGAACATTAGTCAACAAAAGCCCCAAAGACTGCGGATGTAAAAATAATCAAATGCCAATTGGCGGGAGGACAAAGAACTTAGTAATGGGCCGCACCCAAGTACTCCTTTATTGTCTAAAGGACGGTTTAGAAGTTGGTTTGACGTTTCAGGCGATACCTTCTGTAAAGTACAACTGAGGCCGAAAAGTCGTAAGTGTACATTTACTAAGTAGAAACAAAAGCCTATCTGAGTAAGTGAATGAAATCGGTGTCCGTACTAGGGACAAATCAAACGCTCCACAGATAACTTTTGGCGGATAAAGTCATCTGATGAATAGTCCATTGCGCGATACCATTTTTTCTCATAACTTCAAGTCGATGGCTTCAAAATATAGACAGGTAAGCATAGGTCAGTGTAGTTTCCAGCGAATATCAGCAAAAGCCTATCTGCAGTATAGTTTCCGGACCGCCGCACGCGCAGCATGTTCGGCGCAACCTTGCGGTCCGACTCTCTATTCAAGTTCGCATCCACATGCTTCGGGTTGGCGATGATGCTGGCTGTCCCACTGTGGTGGTCCGCGATCATCCCCATTGCCGCTGACTTATATTGCCTTTGTCTATCAAGCCTTGCGTACTCGCGCGTGACAAGCTCCCTTGTACACTCTTGTCCGATCACCTGCAGGAGCCACCCGCGTTGTCCTCCTGTCCACCTCCCGTTCCCGGCCGGTTCGCTGCTGGAGCCACACGAGTCCTGGCACTAGCTTTGTTATACATAAATCGTTAATCAGTCCTGCTACCCGAGCTTCTAGCTTAGTCATCATCGTGGACATAAAATAC